TTTCAGATATGGATATTAACTTTAATAAAACATAACATTTAAATTGTTGCAACATAGCACATTACACCTTAATTATTTCTTCTCAGTGCTTGCATGTACTGAGTTTGACTTTTTTGAAAGCAACTAATTAATTATTAAACCGCTTCCACACATGATATGTTCAAGAGATCATCAATAGAACCCTTGACTACAATCTGAATTAAACCTTAAATAGAATGACTACATCGACTTTGGCTCTCAAACTTTGAACATTCAACTGAGCTGTAGTAATCGTTGTCCTATTTACCTCTTCATTTTCTAATTGCATTACTTCTCGTTTTTTCAGATATATAAAATATACACAATAACTGTTTCCGTTGTAAATTAAAATTAACCGTTATGATACCCGTAACATCAAGCTGCCCTCGCGACAGAAGTGTCAAATATTAATCATTCTCCAAACCCTTAATTTTGTAATTGTCCATTGGTTTATGGCAGTCATTCCCTAACCACCCTGTTTTACCGTACTTTGCTGGCAACTTAGGATTAGTTGGCTATCTGATAGACACAAAACCCCGCTACTTGAGCTTTGTATTGTTATCCTCTTGTTTTAAATTCCCTAAGTAAATCAAACATGTCCAGCATTTTGTTATTGAATAAGACATTGTTCCCTGACGATGCTTTCGTTTAGCTGGAAATGTTGTTAAATCGTTTGCGGCGTTATAAATGTCTTTGGGGATATATATATATATATATATATATATATATATATATATATATATATATATATATATATATATATATATATATATATATATATATATATATATATGACCATAACTGTCATTGAAAGGTGTAACCCACACCTGGGGTCGTGTAATATTGTTGTGTCATATAACAGATTGCAACAATTGGCCTAGTTCGGTCTTGCCACACAATTAAAATGAGCAAGCTTGATAGATTTTAAGTTGTGAACGTAATTATGTGTTAAATTTCAGACATAATGTCTAGCGTCCATAAGCATCATGAACCCTATAGACGAAGTGAAGCTGATTCTGTACAACCAGAATATTCAGTTTAAAAATTGTTATCATTTTTCTTGCATCATATTTTTGATTGATGTTTCCATTGTGCATGATAATAACAACAACTGGAATAAATAATTACTGTTGCCAATAAACAAGACATAGGGACATAGGACGGACTGTTTTAATTAGGTTGATCTAAATTGTCCCCCATTTCAAAGTGAGTAGCATTTGGAAATATTTTGAATACGTTGATTCAAATAGTCCAATGTTTTGATATTGTCTTTACTATTCATTATGTTTCTGAAATGCGTAACATAATAACCATTCCTTTAAACCTAGATCATTAGATTTTGAAGATATTTAAATCGTTCTTGTGCGGTGTTTATGTATATAGGAGGGTAGAAACTGGGTATATTGGCTATATGTTGGCATATTTCAATATATTAGCCACCCATGACTTTGAATATAACTGATACATGTACCTTCGATTTGTCTTGAGGGAGGAATAGGAAAATATATCTTGCATACGTTCGTTTATTGGAAAGAAGGGACCGATTCATTACAAGCAAATAAAAGATGGTAGGTGAATCTTATTATCACTTATGAGTCTTTCGGACGGGATATTTGAACCGAGGGAAGTATACAACCTCATTTACGTGCAGTATAAACCATATAATAATATTTAGATCAAATTATGTCCGAATTGTCTTGATGCCGCATTCTCATGGCTTCATTCAATGGGGACTCTAGTTTCTGTATTGATCGAATTGTGTATTGTATCAATATAGCTTTGAACTTCAACGCCAACAATACATGTGACATAAGCCAAGGCTTTTATACAATCTAGGTATCCATTTTTGTATGGTTATTACTGTTTAATATTTTTTTACCAGTTTCCCCATTTACTTAATTTCGTTTGTCAAACATTTTCTTCAGCATTTAACGCTACTTTCTAAATTGTTGTAGTGACATGTAAAAGTGGTTAATACAGTTGTAAGTGCAAGCTCTCCAAAACTATCTTTGTTTATTTTCTTAATCAGATCGATTAGTAATAAATTATATGTTTCCCATTCCTGATTTGTTGGAATGTAAATGCTATTGCTTATAATGTTAAATTATTTCAAATGTTTGTTCTTATAGTTTACATTTTGTCATTATGTTACATTACTGGACATTCAGGTAACAGTAAAAGAAAATAGGAGACATGGAAGCCGAATTTGGTACACTTTGATACATTACATGCTAATAAGTTGTCTTGGATCATACTGCCCATACAAAGTGTGTATCAAAATGTTAGGTCACATTGTGCGGTGTATTTGTTGACCGAGCAATCACTATCGCATCTTCAAGTGAAGATATGAAGAATGCTGTCTATTGCTTGAAACTGAAGTCCCTTTAATATAGTGGATTCTCAGTATTGAAGAGTATTTGTGGTAATTGAAGCAATAAAATAATGAGCAAAGCAAGAATTATGGATTTTGTTTTATTTGTATTTCTTTACAAACAAAATGGGAAATACATTTTATAATTGTCATAATGTTATGCATAGATTCACAAGATTCACCAAGTCAGTTATTGCATATTTACCCTCTATTATGTCGTTAATTTATCCATTCCATCTGTTATAATCATCCTGCTTAATTTGCTATTAGCGTTTTTTTATATTTATTCTCATTTGTATATATTCATAATTTTATCTTTCATAGTGTCAGTATAGATTGGCTTTTACATGCTGACTAAATCGCCTTTTAAGTTAAAAAGCCAAAAACACCAAACAATTCTAATGTATATTTCGTTCTTCACATAATAATGCTGATTTCCAATTTTTTATCTGGATGTGAAATGCCACTCTGTTATATCGATGCGATTATATGCTCCTCAGTTCATACTTTTAAAATTGGGTAATACAATGTCCATTTATTTTGCAGCCTTTAATGTGATATAGTAAGCCGTTCTGCTATGAATTATAACATATTACTTGGAGTAGAAAAATGGTTAATAGTTCCTGAACACTAATCACTTACTATTGATTTGGTATCTATCAGCATGGTCCGACTGTAAATTTTACTTTTTTTGTTTGAACATTTTTAAAAATAGTTTATTATGTTTAATACTTTGCATTCTTGACTCATCTAGGGGAAGTAGGAAAGAACACATACATAATATAAAATTCATTTTATAAATATAGATAAATTTAAACAAAGACCTCACTTAAGCCTGTATTGTATGAATTGCTTCACTGCCATGATGTCGCAATATTAAACCGTGATAAAGGATGGTCAAGTTTGAACACGTACGTTGAATATATTGCACGAAACGATAAATTGTGCCACAATAAAATAACAATGACAGCGCAGATAAGAAAAGGTATGACTCAACAAATCAAATGCCATTTAAAGTCGAATATGTGTTTCCAAGGAGAAGTTTTCCTTCTGCCATTACACCTATTTAGATAGTGCTTCTAACTTATTTATCTCAGGATAAGTCTAACCTATTAATCTGATAGGACATTAATCAGTTCCAGGCAGCCTATGCAGAGTACCTGAGGGTGAAAGACATACGTGAACAAAAGACGCATTAAAACAAGCTTATCACTCGAGAAAGAAAAAAAGCAGAGCAAGAAGAATAGCCATCAGTCACGCAATCAACCAATCATTATTTTATACAAAATGGTGACGATCCTTAGCCAGACTTGCCGATTGGATAGATTAATAACAGTTTACATCCTGGAAATCTGAAAAAAGAAGATATAAAACTCGACAATGCTCAGGAAATTCCACATTCCATCTTCAGAGGAATATTGGCATAAGAACGGACTGGTGTCTCATCAATTATTCAGGTAAGGTAAAACTCCTCTTTCATGGTTTAGATTCTAATATAAACATCTGACATTTCAGTTTAGGTTTACTGATGTGAGTCATTCTTTAACCACAGTGTTTCTATAAAACAGAACATAATATGTTTGATACAATCAGATCCCAAAAGTAAAATTAGAAATATAAAAAGTTAAAATCGTGCGTAGCTCAATATTTTAACTTGCTATGAACACATCAAGAATAATATTTTCATGAAAAGTTTGATATATGTTTAAATTTGATAGTTATTATAATGTCTACCTAATGCTTTGGTCAATTTTTATGCATACTGGGGCAATGGAATTTGTACTGTATTTAAACATTTTCTTTATTTGATGGCTTTCAATATTTTTTGGATGCTTTAAATATTTTCTTTAATCTTGTTGTTTATGGATAATTTTTATAAAAGTGTTTGATGTGTTATACCTCGATCCTCGTTAAATAATTTTTCTTATAAATCATCTATTTTAAAGTTGTCTGAGTTTACCCAGGTAATAATTTTCAGTTTTTCTTAATAATATAGCTGTGTCTAATGATGCCTTCCTTTACGAATCTCTAATTGGCTATTATATTTTGAAATAGAATATAAATGTAAATCTAAAACATATTATTGAAGACTTATTATTGCTTTACAGAACAGAGGCTGAACAATCCTTTAAACTAAAAACAATTAGCTTGTTATAAATTTTATGGACTTTGGTATGGACGTAAATGTCATAGTTTAAGTATGAACTTTGTGCGGAAAATACATATACCAAATGCATGTAAAATAAAACAAAAAAAAAAGTTAATGTAAAATAGATTTTATAGAAAAATATGGATAAGCTAATTAATATCTTTAATAATATTGAAATAAATACACTTAATACGTTTGCTCTAGAAAACGATGATGTGATGTGATTTAGATTTTTAATGTAGTTTAACACTTATTGTATTATTCTGTGACTTCTGTCATATTGCTACAATGTCTATAGTGTGGCAGTATATAGTAATGTCTATCACTTGGACATCGTGCCGCAGACATGTAGCATGATGTTCCACCCAGTCACATTTTTATGACACCAGTACTGACACTATCCTCTTAATGCTGAGCGCCAAGTGAGGCAGCTGTTAGTATCATTTCTGTAAGTCGTTGGTATGACTCGATCGGGGATTGAACCCACGACCTTTCGCATCCGTGGAGGACGCTCTAACCACTAGGCTACCTGAGCAGTCACAAAAATATAATAATATTGTTAGCAATTAGCTTAAAACGTTTGCTCTAGAAAACTAACTAAGACATATTTCAGTTACATTATGAACAAAATAGACGATGAAACCTGGATCAAGCCAATTAAGGAGTTGTAGGATTTTTAAGGAGCATATCAATAACTCCATTGCGAGTTTTGTTACCCACGATGAGGATTAAAAATTCAAAGCTCATTACGCGTTAGGAAATTGGTTTACGAGCTGTATGAAAATTGTTGTCATTTGAATTAATAATATTAGTTAATGAATAATAAATCTCTTGAACATCTGAAATTTATAAATCCAAATTCCATTCCTTTTTTATTTTTCTCTTTGATCTCGTATTTCACACCACAGACTCAAACAGTGTTCTCCACTTATATGACATATATGTATCGCCTGCGTCTGATTTATTTCCAATGGACACCATAACATTGCATTCATTTAACTATTATATTTGGAGTTGTTCTTATATATAAAAACTTGTCCATTGTTTATGTCATTCACTCCAAACGCGCGTCTATTCCATTTACAACAATAATGCTTACTAAGATTGAGCACTGGCAGATGCATTTTTCTTAATGGTCATGACATAGAAGACATGAAGGGTTTCCAGACGGTCATTTAAGGAATATAATATATCGTTGGAATGAGAAACGTTCTTCACAACTTACAATAACAAGTAACGAAGCTATAGTCTATTCCAATTGCAATGCAGGTAAATACATGCCACTGTCATTTGGCACTCCATAGTTTTCAATATGCTATTTTATATTATTACTTTAAAAAGGAAATACTGTAGAAGAAAAGTTACTTTCGTCATAAATGTTTGCAAGATGAAATGTGTTGCTGAGAGTTCAAAGAGAACTGTGTTTTATTGCTGGTACTACGACAATATAATTTGGTTTATAATGAATATTTCATTTAATATATTGCACAATGCCTTAGAGCAAAAATTCATAATTTAATTATCCGACAGCGTGCTAAGATGAATCACATAAGATTGATAGAAAATCTTTCATACAGATGCTTCCATTATAATCACCATTTTATCTTTACATATTTTTCTCAAAAAATATTGAACTGATAAACCATCTTATATTAAATATCGTCGAAACATTATGCGCTTATATGTATTAAAACGATGGATAATATTTGCCGGACAAATATGCTTTAGATTCTGGCAAGAAAGTTTAACAATATCAATTTTCTATCACACATTTAAGTAAATAGCACTCAAACCTTTGCATGTATCTAAGATATTTCATAAGATGTAAATATACTGATGTCCCTGGCAATACCTGTAAGTATTACTAATCAGGTAATCAGGTAATATCAGTACGTCAACTTCTCCAATGATATGATTTAGATGAACAGCATAATAATCCATGCAAACTTTGCACCTTTTTGTAGTTATAGAGAGTTTATAAGTTGCGAGAATCTATAGCCAAATCCTAGTTGTGACTCAGAAAGATATGACATACGCATGAAGTGAAGAGAGATAATTCGAATGATATTATATTTGTAGATATTTATACAAACCTGAAAATAATTCAGAGTATCATATTTTTATGAAAGGCACAATTTAATAATACTAAACGTATGAGGTACGAAGAGTTAGATAGAAATATTTTCTAACCGTCTCCAAGCAGAGATGACCAGGCAGGTCATTTCAGTTTTTGAAAACGAATAGGGTTAGATAACAAATTTACACATTTTATCAGAATGCTTGTGTAGCTAAATACGTGTGTACCAAGACATATATTAGTCTAGACGTCACCTTTGGTTTATAATATATCACTAATGCTGAATAAATAAGTAACGACTTTAATTGAGTTAATTTCAATTTACAGCTTTGGATCTGTATATTTTTATTCATAATCATTGCAGTAATAGAGGTTTTGTCAATGTACGGGTGTCATAAAACGTGTGGTAAACAGATCATATATGAAGGTACAGATTTCTGCATTAAAGGTGACATTTTACCTGTTTCTAATATCCACAGAAGTGAGTGCAGCGAAACTACCTAACATTGCACGTCGCGCACATAATACAGCCTTATCCAATTGCCAAGATGTTTTTCGGTTTCGTAACATGTCAGCTAATCGCTGCAATTTCAATCAACATAGGGTACGTAAAACCCGATTATTGAGATTGACTATACCGTAGAATGCCTTTAGCTCCTTGTCGTTCACTTTTTGGTTATTTGTTAAATTATCATGATTAAATAATTAGGTATGATGGCGCTGATGAAATGAGTATCATTTATAGCTCGGCCTTTTTATGCAAAATTACTTTGTAGTTTAGTCAAAAACGGCCTATCGTCTAGGTTTTAACTTTCGCAAAGTCGAAGACGTATTCAGAGTGTATCTGCAGTTTGTTCTAAGCATGCGATTGGTTCATTTTTAATTATCAAGTTGCGTGAAATGGTGGTGACGTTGATATAAATAGAATAAAAATTGTAAATATAATTTTAAGTACATAAATTGCGATGTTTTGAATATAAGGTATGAACGTTGATGTTACTGTAACTTCAATTACTTTATAATGTTTTGAAATATGATTTAAATGTTCAGTAAAGCTACGGTCATAAATCTCGATACATGCAAATATTAGTAGTCTTATACTTTGGTAATCTGCATATACGTACTGCAAAAAATTGTATTTACAAGCTATAACAAGATATGACAAATATAAAATCAATAAAATTAAAAAACTATTTTCAAGTTTGTTTACATTCATATATATTTTGACATTTAAATTGGTAATTTAAAACGTTATGTTCTTAAACTTCACATGGAACGTTATAATGCGAATAGATATGTTGACCCATTCACTCTTCTGTTCTCAAAATAGTAGTAAAGTTGTATAAGTATGACAAAACTGAATGTGTCCTACATACATATAAATAAAACAATTAAATGTGCAAGTAAACTACGTATTTTGAAAGTATCTAGCATCAGTATTCCAGTGTGGAACGTTTCATATGAAGTGAAAAAACGTTAGATTATTTATATGTATTATGCTAGAAATTTCCAATTAGTTGTTATGTATGAGTCTACTCGCTCTGTTGCAAATTTGAGCTTGTCAGTAGTTATTTCTAGCATAACCTTCTTCTCGTGTCTGGTTACGAGAAGGAAGAAAGTTCGGCATTCTTAAGAATAAGGGTCACACCTATGTTGCATCTTGTGGGATTAAGCTCGGCTGCGAAAAGGTGGGATCGCTGTAAGAAATAGACACGACACCCTCTGAGCTTGAAATCGCACTTTTTATATATATATATATATATATATATATATATATATATATATATATATAAAATATCAACTCCATACAATACATATTACAATAATAGTTCTTCCACAACCTACTATTTCATTTGTCCATTCATTTCTCTGCATTTTTGAATACAAGTGATTTAAATATTCAAAGAGCCTAAATTCAATCACTGTAATAAATGCATTTTATTCTATTTAGTGTAAGATAACGACCTGAAAAAGATCTGTGAGTGTTATACTTATTATTTAAAGAATATATATGTATTCTCAATTAAATTATAACATGAAGCTAGTAATTATTTTAAACAAATACTAATGAACATCGAAGCTGTAAAATATTTCATTACATTATGATTGTGGAAAAAGGAACTCAATAATATTACATTATAAATACAATGAACATCAATTCAGTAAAATATCAAATCAATAAAATATTTCATGGCTGAAAAGAGAACTCACTATTACATTATATTGATAAAATAAAAAAAATTCAGAAGGATATTATAACTTACTATAAAATCTTTAATTTTCAAGAGCGAGTATAAAGCATAATTTTCTTACCTATAAGAAATAGATACGACACCCTCTGAGCTTGAAATCTCACTGAGACCAAGCAGCCCAGAGCCTTTTTTATATCTTGGAAGCTGCTGTTCATCAGTATACCACGTTTTCATTCAAGGTCAGAGAGGTCTGTCTAATGAACTATGCCTATGTTCTAAAAAGTCACGCGTGTTCCCGTTTGATTGTCAAGGACAGCCTTAATCTTATATCAAGTTTTAGGGGGAAAAGAGAAAGTGTGTGTGCCTGGTCAGTAATTTTCCTAAGTGAACGACCTTTTGGACCATACATTGTCTATAACTTTCCAGTTGTAAATGGTCAATCACATTCTGAACTTCTAACCCAACTAATTTTCTAGACTGTTTATCAATTACTTCGTTCCCAGTATCACAATGCAATTAATTAGGTTTTATTAATTGAATTGTGATGCAGTACGTTATTCGTGGCTTCTATCCGTTGTTGAACTATCGAACCGGCTACTGATTAGGCTTTCTTCCATTACCAAGCCAAGCTGAGGAAGAAAGAATAAAGTCTTAAACTTTGAAGAGCGAGTATAAAGCATAATTTTCTTACCTGTAAGAAATAGACATGACACTCTTCTTGAGCTTGGAATACCACTGGGACCAAAGCAGCTCAAAGCCTTTTTTATATTCTGGAAGCTGCCTGATCATCAGTATTTCATCCAAGGTGAAAAGAGGTCTGTCTAATGCATCTAAAAATAATCACGTATGTTTCTTGCGTGCTAGTCAAGGACAACTTTAACTTTATATCAAGTTTAGGGGGATATAGAGTGTGAGTGTGTGGTCAGTATTTTTCCTAAGTAAGCGGTCATTCACATTACGAACTCTCAAACTAATTGCCTTGATTATCAATTACTTTGTTCCCAGTATCACTACGCAATTTAATAAGGTTTTATTGACCGAACCGCGAGATAGCACGTTATTCGTGACTTTTTATCTGTTGTTGAACTATCGAACCGGCTACTGATTAGGCTTTTTTCCATTACCAAGTCAAGCTGAGGAAGCAAGAATAATGTTTAATCTGAATTCATTTCAATGTTCTATTATTCTCAGGATATGAATTATTGATTTGGTCATGCTTCTCTTACAATCCAAATCAATATTATAGCATTCTTTTTAAATTCGCAGGTTT